CAATAACCCTCACTTACGAGCTTAGAAAACAACTACCTTTGGATCAGCTAAAGGATTCTATGAAACATAGATTTGTCACATTGGTAGTCAATCAAGAGAACAGAGGTATACATATCTGTAATGAAAAAAAAAAACAAAAATCCAAACGAACAATCAAAACTCAATTTTCTATATGACAACAGTCAATCATAAACCAGTACAGATTCCCCTATATGTCAAAAGATTCCAGTCAATCGTTGTCTTCACTAGTCCAGGGTTGTTAATCAACAAAACAGAATACAAATACAATACGTTTGCGAATTTCGATATAAAAAAAAAGATGTTAAACATGTTAAACAGAAATTTAAGGAAATTAAAAGACGAACCCGCGGACTGTGCGCCAGAAGATCTTGGCGGGGGAGCGGAAGTGAATGGGGCCATGAGAGGGCTTGGTGTTCATGCGCTTGCGGAGGAACCTCATGTACTTCATTTTCTGGCGGACAAGCCCTCCCGAAATGCATATCTCCTCGCACCTTACCACGACGACTCTCTGCCCGTTCAAGAGCTCCTTAGCGACTATAGACGCTAGCCGGCCAAGCATGTGGTGCCTCGCGTCCACCACCACCCGCTTCGCACAGACCCCTGATTCGGACACCATTTTCGTTGTCTCCTCTACTCCAATCCTGGGGGCTGTGAAGGACAACTTGGTGCTAGGGTTTCTGCTTTGAGTTCAGATGTTTTGGAGTATTTTAAAATACATTTGTTTACCAGTGTTATTTTCTGTTCTTTACTTTAAAAATAAATATAAATTTATAAAGAGGTAATTAATAACTTTAGTTTTTTAAATTGTGTATTTGTTATAATTAAATTTCTCGTATTTTATTATACTTTAATATTTGATATTTTTTATTAATTTTAAATGTTTAATTTTCTTTTTATTTTTTAATAAAAAATAAAATAATTTAAATAATGATAAACAAAAGTAATATATGCATGTAAATATTAATATATATATATATATATAATATGAATACATTATTATAATATAATAAAATAATCTCTAAATAAAAATACATACATGAATATAATTCAAATCAACTTATATTTTTTTTAAAGATAAATTGATATACTAATCATTCAATTGAACAATGATCATTACTTTTTATTATATTGAATAGCTTCTAAAAAAAAAAGGTTTATGATTGAAAATTATAATAATTTAATTAAGTATGGTTTAATTTTATTATTGAAATTGTACTTCTTATAGATAAATGAACTATTAAATTTCTGCTAAAATAATGGATATATGAAACTATTTAGCTATTTGAATAATCATATTTCTTTAAATACATAAGTAGTCTTCCTTTTCATAGTATTTATTATTTAAAATAAATATCTAAAATATATAATAATAAAAAATTATATTGCAAAATAAATCATCGTAGTCAATAATTTGGAGAAAGATATAAAGATTAAAAAACGTATTATAATATTTTTATAAGTCTCTTAATTTTGTTATTTTTACATTAATTTTATAGCATTACCCTCTATAATATCAACAATTTCTTGAGTTATAATTATCTTAATTTTTGTAAACATTATTATTTTCTCACAAGCACAATAAAAACACTCAATAATCACTAATTGATCAATTTATATTCAATTTATAATAGTCAAATAGAAAAGTCGTCAATAGAGTTAAGGATGGTAGTTTACTTATAGTTATCTTGAGTGAGTTTTACACTTTGAACTATTTCATCACACTCACATAGGTATTTTTGAATTTTCATTTGGGAAGTGATCATTGTGACACCCCTAAACGATTTCTATTATAGGATTATACACTATTTATTCTTTCACCCCAAACAAGATATTTAAAATTCTCTAATCAAATCACAC